CATGAACAAATTATGGTTCTGCTATTGAGGATCAAATGAATTATGTCTAAACTACTCTAGATTCTCTACTGTTGTGCCATTTTTGCCTTGTGAATATATTAACAATTAGTCCATTTCAATTAACATGAAAATAAAAATGGCATTTTCCAGGCCATTTACTCTTTGGGTAGTTAGGCAGCCATTACACTCAGTGCAGACACAAGGTCCTGCTTGGTCTGAACATGTGTGATACTCAGCCGTTGCCACTCAACACCCCAAGTACATATTTTCAATTGTTACGGGACTCACTACCATATAGTGACGGTAAAAACAAGCATTAATTTATTGTTAATAAAACCTTTCTGTAGTAGGGCAGACAAGTAAACAAACTCGTGACACAACATGGTCATGGCAAGACAAACTAATACTTATAGTATAACGTGATAAAGCCAATGGAAGGGAAAAAACTAATCAAATAGACAGATAAAGAAAAATATAATATCTATTATAGAAAGCAATGGGATGAGTCTGTATCATTTCTATGAGGAAAGGAGGGGGTGTTACTGTTGTGACAGGCTTCACGAGCGTGATGGTCGAATCTGCCCCAGCTGATTATCTGTCGGCGCTTACACGGTTTGTGCTAATGAGCTTGCCTGCTCCCATGGGCAGTCTTCCTCTTTTACACTGCTAAAGATCACTTTCACTGCTTTTGCACAACTAATTCAGGCCCACAAAAAGTGAGAGCTTCACCGGCGCTGCCCCCTTTTACTGCTCCTTTTGTGGGACCTTTGCAGGCACAGCCGACAGAGCGAGGACCCAAACGCTGCATGCTCTTCATGCCCACTCTATTGCCTGCCATTACCATACATATCCATATGAAAAGTCAGTCAAGTCCTGAACAGCTGTCTGGTCAAAAAAAGCAAGGTCCTGCTCACCTCCCCCCATCCACCCACTCCCATCCACAGGCCTCACAGAAGATCCCTTTGGCCCTTGGTGAGCAATAATAAACCAAAACCATTTAAACAGTCTTTCAGACAACGAGGGAGGGAGAGTTATGAGGCTAAAATTCAGCGTTTCATGAGCCATGGAGTGCCCTCATTGGGCAATTTCTGCCTCTGCTCTGCCCTCCCAGAAGTCAAGAGGAGAGAGAGGGAGGGACAGTGCAATTGGCCACACAATGCTAAATCCTCCTGCTCTTCAGAGACAGAGACAGAGAGAGAGAGAGAGAGAGAGAGAGAGAGAGAGCTTCATGAATAGCAATTGTATTACATTAATCCCTTGTTTTTGAAACTGTCTAAAATTCAAGGAAATGATTCATATGTTGAGATTAAAGGTCCAACAATTTCCACATACTTTTCTTAAGGGTGTCCTTAAGGTTGCACTGCCAAAAACGACTTTGAATTCTATTAAATATGTTTTCCATATGTGCTTTAATGTTATCTAAAGTTCAACCACAAAATGAAATGAAAGACGAAAGTTTGTCCTAAAGTATGTTGTATTACAACACAGATTGCAATGACTGCATTCACTTTCTCAGAAATAGTATAAAGACCAACAGCTCTGAGCAGTAATCATAAAAAATCTAATCTTTTCACCTAGGCACTAAATGGTCCAGATGGGACCCTGTAAGTGTAGGGCAACAAACATGGTGTGGGGTTAAGTAAGTGTCCCAGGTCACATGAGAAGTCTTTTAGTCTGGGTGAATCTGAATGTCATACAAGGTCTTGCTAAGTTAATGATGAGGTGGGTTCTTCTTGTGAGGAGCTGCCAAAGATCCTGATTTCCACTTTCTTACGTCAGATATGACACTGAGAATTCCTGCACTGATAATGGATAGTATTGGATTGCTTAGACATTTCCTCAATGACCAATGCACTTCTCACAGCTAACCCTCAGAGTCTGTTTTTGCCCATTTCTGATATCTAGGCATAACAGTCAATAAATTTACAATTTACAATTAACATTTACAATGGATATTTGGTGTCATATAATTTTATAAGCAGCAATAAGTTAATACGTTCGGACCAAATATCAATATGTATTTTTTTTAAATAGTAGTTTATAGTCAAATTTATGAACTGAACATTCAACAGAAAATAAATAAAAATTGTCAACCTGTCAGAGTCCTGGTTATAATCCATCCTGATTTTATTAGTAATGCCTCCAAACTCCTGACATGCAAAAAAGGTTGGAAGGTTTGTATGTTTTGTAATGATGTCAAAATAATTCTAACTAACTTCTGCACATATAATAATATATTGCTGCAATAACTTAAAGTCTGTCCATCAAATCAATATCAGCGCTTTGGATTTATTTTTATTTACTCTAACGATGCTCAGCTGTTTTTATTTGCTCTTGTTCAAGATTATTCACTTCCTTTAAAAATCTTCCTACCTCTGAAAGGGAACAAAAAGTTGATGGGGGAATTGAGGCTTGTGGGCTGATTCAATGAATAAGAAAAGAGGGGATGGGTTTGTCTATCACAGGCTGGGATAGTGAATGGGAGGATATTAGTGTGTGT